AACACGAGGAGTACTTACTATTGAAATAAAGTATTTCTATGCTATTTTTATTGCATTTAACGAATTGCTTATTGTTCAACCTTCATATGCTAATAAATACATTTTAAACAGGAAATTCTCACGACCATTAATAAGATACAGACGGAATATTTATTACATATTTATGAGATTTTAAGGAATATCTTGGTTAAGAAAAAAAAAGAAAGGGGGGAAGATTAACTTTGTTTTTCAAAAAACGGGAAGCCGAGCATAGTGGATTAAATTAATATTCTTTAATCACTTTAAGTATGAATAAGAAGAGTAAAACATATAGTATCTTGCTTTTGTTAACGGAAAGAAGAATTCCATTTTAATCTCTTTGCTATTATTAAATGGCGTTGAATCTGTATATATGTATGTAATGATTTAGAAGTTTGTTGATATGGAAATGCATAAAGAAGCGCTGCAATAAAAATTTTAGCAGGCCTGCCAATTTAGCATTTTTTATTATTACTGAGTAGCACATACGTAACTTCAGCTACACAAAGCTATGGGTGAAATTTACTCGCCTGTTTCTCATTACATTTGTGTTTTTTCTTTATTTTCATAAAATTGAACTTCGAATGAATAAAATAAGTGCAGAAACGCACAGCAAGCAAGTTCGCAGGATGACTATGAGAGACCGACTGTGAAGTATTCGGGGGGGGGGAGTATCTCCGCTTAAAATGATTTAGTTTCCGTTTAGCTTTATTTTTATTGGTTAATATTAAGTTTTGATTTGAAATTTTCATTGGCGAAAGAATTATGAAGAATCATATCATGTAGATTAATTTTGAGCTGACGCAGTTGTTAAAAGCGGTCACTATTTTTAAGGTGGAAGGCAGAAAAAACCAAATTAAAATAGAGAGTTAAAGGACTATTACAAATTAAAGTTAAAATTTTGATTTACGTATTTATTTGTTTTACACATATGTTTGTTTCTATGAGGAACTGTAGATAAACGGCGGCTCCTAGAGCCATCAGACTTTGAATACACTTAGTCCTTCAACCAAACATTTGCAGCTTGTGCACATGTGCCAACTTATAGCCTGAACTTTTAAAATTTATTTTAAGTTTTGTGCAAATTTAACGAAATTTCTACTTATAATTCTTCTATGTGGGAGCAATTAGCTATCATTCAAGAAAGCGTTAATGTATTTATGTTTTGTACTTGATCAGAAAACTCGACAATTTACAAGAAACATTAAAGAAAATGTGTTTCACTACCCGGAATAAAATAATTTTATCTTTCACGTTCAGTGAGTTGCCATTCGGAAAAGCAATTTTCTTTTAAGTTTAATCTATGTGTTACTGATTACCAAACTAAGGGATTTAAAAGCAGTAAGTGCAGTCCTTCATCTTTATTAAGTACTAGCTGGGCCAGTGAAATTAGACTAGCTGGAATCATCAAAATCGTTATACATATTTTTAATAATAACTACTTTGGGTGGCTAGCCGCACAAGCGGTTAGTATGTATAAAGGAACAAAATTACATTTAATTCTTATTTTAGAAAAGATACAATTTCCTTTCTCTGGCTCTTAAAGTGACTATGTTGAATATTGAGACTAAAGACCCCTCTTCTTTAAAAGCAAATTAAAAGAAAAAATATGCTTAAATTTTTTAATCTTTTCTTCTGACAAGAATTTTGTATTTTATTTAAATTAAGTAATAGAGGAATACTGATAAGATCCTTAAATAAAATAATTTAAACGAAAACAGGTTTGGTTTAATACCGACGAAGCATAAAATATCTCTCATATCTTTCGATATCAGATATGAGAGATATTTTATGCTTCGTCGGTATTAAACCAAATATAATTACATTATCTCAATCAGGGACTCTCAACAAGTAGGGAATTTCTCTTTGAGGGAATTTCATAGTTCTATGAGATGGAAATGCCGTAAGCCTTTTATTTAGGCTATTAAATATTTAGTTTTACTCTATGAATACAAAAATTACTTTTATTCAAGTTTGGGTATTAACCAATATTTTCTATCTATTTTGTAGTTTCAAATACAAAATACATAGAAAATATATTAAAAATATACTAAAAATAATCTAAACCTAAATTAATCTATTTGTACTATTCAAGTTTTGAATAGGGAAAGGATCATTCAGTAATGGTGAAAGGGCCAAACAGACTGAGAACCGGTTATCTAAATAAACTCATTTATTATTAATACGATACAAAACTCATTAATTGTTCTGTTACTATCAGAGAAAATGAAGTAAAGATCAAAAGTAAAAATGTATTTAAACGAAGAAAGCAAGAACAAGAGTTAAATATAATTAAATAGATGCAGCAAAATTTTCTATACTTGATTATGGAGCTGTGAAAAGAACTGCCGTATGTAAAAGCACTAAACATAGTCAGAGAAGATCAGAAAAGTATTTTGCTCTTTGCGTTTGTATTTTTTGCTTTCGTCTGTTATCTAGGGGTATTTCAAAAATAAGATGCACAGACACTCTTTCGAAATGATAATTCTTTCTGTATCTTCTGTGATAACGTAATAACTAGCCAATATTCCATTTCATTATTTTTATTTTGGCTTGGTTGTTAGGATAATTTGTGAATGTTACTCTTCATTTATATACTTCATGCTGACACTGTAACCTAATATCTTCTTCTGTTTTGTTTGCTATTACAAACATATGTTAACAGTTATATATTACATACAGTTACATATATACAATATTTAAACGCATATTTACAATAAATACGCTATATGCAGTTAACTGGGCTCCAGTCATTAAGTAAACTATTACTACTATTACTAAATAAATTTGTAAGGATTATGTTAATTTTTCTAAAAATTAAATTTTGAGTTAAAGTTATTTTTCTATCGCTTCTTAATTTCAATTTACAACGTCCGGCCAGAACGTATTTTTAGAACCACGTTTGAATGCAAATTCAAGGAGTAGTATTTAACCGCGAAGTTCTACTGTCTTAGTTAGAGCGACCCAGTGATTCTGGCTAGCACGTGTCCGCCTTTTTAGACTATTCTCTCTTAAGCTATTATTACGCTCGGCCGTACTTTAGGCCTTTGATAGCTTCGCAGTTAATTAGCATTAAGGGGCCAACTCTGTTAGAATTTTGATAGCTTCGACTATATCTTTTTTTTAGTTAAGATTAGTTTACTTCTTAGTCTCTTAACTACAAGCCCGAGTGTCGGCTTTATTATACAATTCTAAGACGAAGTTCTGTTACACCTTATTGGAATAATAAAGGGCTATTTCACCCTTCTTACTTGTTGTTTTCTATATCACGAACTCAAGCGATTATTCGCTTACCCCTTCTTAAGATTCTTCAAATTCAACTATAACTTAACAGTACACAGTACAGAATCTTACAAATTATTGAGTGAATTTCTTATTTATTAGCTGAAGTTGTTGAAATCTCTGTTAGCCTAATTATTAGCAATTGAAATTGCATATTTTATTTCGTTAAATATTTGAATTATGGACAGTCTGTATACCTTAAAAGCTAATATTTATTCATTCTTAGTTGTAAAAAAAAAGACATACTTTTAAATAAACGTATATAAATTTAAGTTTGTATCTTTTGGCTGGGTTATTAAAGCTTAATTAGACTGATAATAATGACGAAAATTAGTAGATGAAAATTAGTCGCACCAAGAGAATGTTAAACAAGTTCAAATAGATAACTAATTAGGTTTAACCTTACATAGTAAGATTATTGTGTAAAAATATATTTCTATAGGTTTCTTATGGGTAATAATTATATTGCATAAAAATAGCTTACTGTTTAATAACCAAATGTTCAAAATTAAATATAGAAATAAGTAGAGAACATTCAGTGATTACAAAAAACTATTGCCCACAATAAACTACAAAGTATATTACCACACGAAAGAAGAACAAAGGTACAATTAAGTGGATTCGATTCATTAACTAAATTATTTTTTTCCTCTTCGGTAATTTGCTCATATTTTTTGAAAAAATTTCGGAAAGATTTTACTTTTAACGCATAAAAGCATTTTATTGTTAAATGATTAAATATAGAAAATAAATTATACGTTAATTTTTTTCTGTTCGATAGTGTAAAGAAAATTGTTTTATTTTTCAAAACTAATTTGGAAATACTGATTTTGACTCGATTTTAATAAACTTTGTTTTTACACTTTTACTAAAGAATTTTAACATAAAACACAATCATTCTGAAATAGTTACTATATATATTTTTTAAAGAGAAAGCTTAGCTCAAAGGGCCTACGATAGTTCATAAAACACACTACATGGACAGGCTAAATGGATTATATGGGAGATGAAAAAATTCAGTTCTAGGTTTTCTCAGATTTTTACTAATACAGTAATTTAGATATTCTAAAATCAGAAAAAGTAATAATGCTGTAATACAGATATATTAAAATTTCAAAAATTATACTAGCTATTAAAAATATACAGCGACCGATGAAATAGTAGCAATATTTTTTATGCTAAAATCCGTATCCATTCAATTCGATTCAATTATTATTTAAACCTTATTTTGAAATCTAGAATCATGTATGCCAAACAGTGACACATAAGGTCAAACAGTTTTGTTAAAGAAACTGAGAATTCGTAATGAAAAATTTTGATAAATTTCTCAAACTTTGATTCCTAACTTATAAAATTAAATCTATTTATATGCCTAAGCGGTGTCATTTGAATGTTTTGTTGAGTTTTGTAGAAAACATTTTATACCTTTGAAAATTTAATAACTTAGAATAATTATAAAAATGTGCCACAAAATTAGCATTCAGATGTACAAATAAATGAAAAACTACAACCGAAGTTAATGATAATTAAATTTATGATCAATTTTGATATAGCAGTAATACGCTGTTGATCTTATTAGTTACGGAAAGCCATTTAAATGTGTTTTTTTTTTCAATCTATAAAGTTACCCAATTATAGTGAAATTTGTTACTTTAAATCTTGAAAAACACTCCGACGGAAATTTATAAATGAAAACTTACGCGGGGAATTCGCCATTGCAAGGACAGGTCTTCCATATCTGGCATCTTTTCTGTGATTTGGACTGCTCAGGCCATTTCTAAAACCTGTGAGAAAAAACAAGAAATTGAAAACTAAAAACTGTTGTAAGAAGATAGAAAAATACACGCTTATCCTTTCAGTTCTAGAATAAGGTATTTATTATCCATTTCCAAAATTTTAATAAAAAATTATTATTAAATAATAATTTTAATATATACTTATTAAAATAACTTAATAAATACGGTTTTCAAAGGTATCAGAAATCACTACGTATTACTGAAGAAAACTCAATTAAAATTCAAGGAAACCATTCCCGCATGTGGCTTCAATGTATGAATTTGCTGGAAAGCTTTAATATAATTAAGCCAATTTTAACAAGCTTCATTACCTAAGTATGACGAGTGTTTATATTAGTCCTAAGATGTATTAAATTTCCCAGCGTCATGCAGGAATGTAAACCGGCGTCATATAATCTAAACCGCGTAGTATTCATAGCTTGTAGTTATAAGCCTTTATTAGTTCTTTTAATTTGATCAAGTTTATTATCTTAAACAAAAGTTGTTCATGATTAATAAATTTAATTATGATTAACTCAAACTTTAAATAGAATGAATAGGGGAGATGAATCATGTGTTCAGAAAGGACAACGCCCAATTCTTGATAATGCAAGTGTGTTTATTAATATTTAAGCTTTCTGATTATTGTCTACCAACGTACGCTAAATAGTATTATAACATACAAAGGTAAACAAAATAAAGGGAAACACCTAACTGAAAAAAAAACCGCAAAACTTCATTTTTTTATGCAGGCCTATATATTACTTTGTCTGTGCTGTGTAAAATGTAGGTGGGTTAAAAAAGTCAGCAGCTGCTGTAATCATGATAAATCACCTGCTATGTAACGACAGACCTTGGTCTTCCTAATTTTTGCACCACTTAAGTAATAGCTTAAATTGGATGATATAAAATATTACTGTAATAAAAAAGTACAAGTAAAGATTTATTTAAGTACGAGTGTGCAAAATATAGCTTACATAAATTTTCAGAAATTATTCTGACTTTCGTGGATTCAGCTAATGAGCAATTCGTTGAGGCAGAGACTTTGCACTTAATAATTGTCATTTAAAAATCAAAAATAATATTGAATATGTTCATAAAACATTTGGAACTTTATCAAGCAATTTTGAAAGATCATTTGGACTTTTATCATCTATCATTTGAACAAGTTCATTATTATTTAAATTAAGCAGCTATACATAATTTCAGTCTTCAATAGAATTACCTTTTCCCATTTTCTCACCAGAATGCTAATCAGTTAGTATTTAAAGTGAGGATTCTGGATTGTAATTCAGAACTTGTTCTGGCCTGTGCGGGTACGCTACGTTTAGTTCCTGCCAGCTCTGGTAAGTTGTAATTATTCGGCTTTGCGTTATCTCTGCCGACATTTGAATTTGATACTTCGGTTAGAATTACTGAGCCAGCTAAGATTAAAATGTAATTCTGTAGTCTTTGACTACTGTTCTACGTTTTAAATTGAAACTGACTGCTTCTACTTAGTTGCATCGCCACGAGATGTAGTTGATTTTGTAAGCACAAGAACGTGGATTTATGTTCCAAGTTCTCTTAAAATAAAAAAAGGCTTAGTTAAACCTTTATCTGACATTTTAGTTATTTTCAGACATAGCGATAGCTCACTTCACGTCTGTTAGGAGTTTTGAACTGATTGACTGTTACCAGACCAAATAATACGCCATAGTATTTTAAAAACTTTATGAAAAGTTTAGTTTATGAAAGTTTTATGAAAACCCCATAGTTTATGAAGAAAATTCAAAATGTTCTTCATAAACAAACTGCTGAAATAGGCCAGGTGATGATTTCTCAAAGTGATTCGCTCTTAAAGCGCTATATTACCGGTAATGCAACATGCATTTTTTGGTACAGAAATGACTCAACAATCAAGTGAATGACACTCAAAACGCAAAGCAAAACCGAAAAAAACCACATCAAAATCGATTAAAAATTATAAGTAAGTCAGATTTTAATGTAGTTTCTTAATATGATGAAGCTGGTTTGATTATGTAATGTTAGCTCAGCTAATGTTGTGTATTTTATTTCAGATTATCACGGTGCTGTGTGAATTATGATTTTCTGCAGACTAGCGAAATGAGAAACAAAGAATATTATTTGAATGTTCTGCAGCATTTGCATGAAGCGATTCGTACAAAACGACCTGAACTGTGGGAAGATAACCCTTGGGTTTCTACGCCACGATATGTCTGCTCACGATGATATTTCAGTCTGCGAATGTTTGGCCAAAAAGCTGACTTTGCAAGTTCTGTATTCATCCGACATGGCACCGCCTGTCTAACTTTCTCTTACTTCCATGGAAGAAAATAGTTGGAATAAATACATTGCAGTTTGAGGGGATTAATTTGAAGGGAATGTAATTAAAATCGATTAAATATAATGAAATCTTGTCTTATGCATATTACGATGCTTATTGAACGCAATAGTGCAAACCGCTCATTACTAGGATGAATGTCAAAAAATAATTGTATGAACAAACAGATATTTCTGAAGAACTGAGTATGTTGCTTTATGCGTGCTTTCGTTCCAGCTGTAAAGTATAGAAATCGGTTTAAGTGGTTTTGATGAATTTTATCATTTTCAGGGTTCATTCTCATGATTAGTTTAATATTTTTACATATAATAAAAGAAAGAGTCTGTCTCTGTGTGTGTGTGTTTTTCGTTTGCGCTGCGCGTAAACTAATAGACCCATGGCTACGAAATTTGGTACATAGGTGCATCTAGACAAGAGCCAGTGCACCTCGAAGCGATTTTTTCGAAATTCGAATCAGAATTTTTTAAATTTTTTTCTTTTGTGACGAAATTCGAATTAGAAATTTTTTTATTTTATGTTTTGTGACGAAATCGCGTTATTTTGAGACATAATGGGCTATAGGAAAGCGAGATTTTTCTCTACGCACTCCATTTTCACATCATCATGAAACGTAGGCACTTAGCTATTTTACGAACTTAAAATAAATTTCGTGTTTCAATAAATCGGTTAAATACGAATTTATTTAACAAAGGGAACTTAACACCTTTTTAACAGGATTTTCTAAAAAAAGTTTATTTTTAAAAATGTGCAGTTTGTTTTTCTTTGATTTTGGGACACTTTAAACTTTCATCCTTGCGACTGCTTTTACAAAAAGAATTTTGGAAAAATGATATTTTGTATTTTTAAAATAAATTTTAAATGAAGCTTCCGAGTACACTTTTCACATCTCACATCTTTAAAAATGTGATTTTGGCAACAATTTTCCTGTCTTATTGTTGTTGATAGATTTTTGATGAAATCGCATCATTTTGAATAGTTTCATTCTTTTAGAAATATGGATTTGGCAACAATTTTTCATGGTATTTCTTATGTCACTAATTTTAAGAGATTGGCATATTTTATTGTCAGTGATATATATATATATATATATATATATAATACATTTTTATTGATTTTTTGATAAAGCTGTTCTGCAGAGTAAAATTCTGCGCGGAATTTTATGTTTTTTGAGTTTCTTTCATGTTATGTTTCGCTTATTTCACTGTTTGTAAGATATTGAAAAGTTTTGCATGATTTTTTTTATTCAACGGAAAGTTGGTTAATTTTTTATTAGGATAATTAATATTTGTATTAAGGGACATAGCTTATTTCATTGTATTTTTTTCTCTTGAAAATATAAGATAAAATATCATTAATTATACTAGAAGAGAAACACGCTAATGTGACAATCAAAATCGTAAAAAACAACCTTATATTTAGCGTAGGTATAATGAAACACTCAATCGATTTCGAGGGCAGCTAAAGGTCCCTCCTCATCAGGAGAAAGAAATACATAGAAAAGTCCTTCCTAATGCCTTTAAATTCTGGTTGTTTGGTCCGACTTCAAATCCTGATTAAGGGGTTGCTCCGTGGTTTTCCTATGTGTAACGATAATACGAACCCAATTCCCTTATAATGTCTTTCATGAACGTAATCCTTCCGACCGATTGCCCTCATATGCTTAAACAATGAACCTCGTGATTCTGAAAGTAATTAACTAAAATTTGGTGGTTTTTCTTAAACGTTCGATGTTTTTAATTATCATTTAGTAGCAAACAATGATAGGTTTTTAATTGAAAAGGTGCAGTTCTTCATTATTACAAGCCCATGTTTCCAAGTGAGGGAAAGATCATATTTTTAAATTAAAGCAGAAATTTAAAGAGTTGAAAGTAAACTTATGCCATCCGGTAAATTAGAAACTATTGAAAAAGTGTTAAGTCACTTGTATTTCGTTGTTATGCTGATAAAAAGCAATAATTCTCCTACGTTCAAAGACGGTAATATTTTCCCTCTTTTCTTTTTCAGCTTCGTTAGACAAAGAAATTTAAAATAAAATATATAAAAGCTGTTTCTAAACTACTCAGTTTTAGTTATAAACGCTGAGATGTAAAAAATATTTTTTGAGCTATCATAGAACTCTCGGCTGTGCAATACTAAAAATAAAATCATGGGTATGCTATATGAGAATTCTATTAGGACTTTAACAGCATTTCAAGGAACAAAGTGAGCCCACGGACATTTACCCGACACGGACACTTACAGACAGGACATTTAGCCAATACAGAGAGTTAGCCGTCAGGACATTTAGCTACGGGACATTTAACTGTCAATAAATTTAGTCAACAGGACAATTAAGCCGGCAGTGATGTTTAGCTGACACGTACCCAATGATTATTTAAACTTAGTATCAATTACAAAATTTCTCGACTTCTCCATAAATTCAATATTTAAGTAATTTCTTTCACCTATCAGTAAAATTCCTTTTTCGATTCTAGAGATCTCACATGTGCTTTTAATTCTTGTGTAATTTAGCACAGTTTGATATATATCGTGTTATTTAGTGTATTGGCCAAACTGAAAAAAGCGTTGAAATTTCTCGTCAGGGAATATGAATTAATTTTCGAAGGAAAAAAATATTTTTTTAGCTAAATACGACGGTCGCTCGGTTGCATTTTAATATGGGATCTGCAAAAATTGTCCGTAAAGCTTCTTCATTTAATCAACTGGGTTCCTTTGAGCACAATCACATAATTGCTATTTTACTCAACACATCATTGCTACATTCCTTCCCTTATAAAATAGTTTTTCTCTTCCCACTACTGAAATTTCCTTTCCCTATCATGGAAAATCTGAATAATGCAATAAAAATTATTGTTATTCTTGAATTATACTTTTTATAGAAACACTGGCGGTTGAGGGTTAGTTTAGCAAATATATTTTATTTTGCTATTACAAACAGACAGGTTATTAAAAAGACAAGCAAAGGTTTAAATTATTTTTGATCTCTATAATAGGCAGTTCATGCCACTTTAATAGAGTTGCTTATTTTTATCTTAAGACTGGTAAAATGAATTGCCTGTTGACGATGATGTGACGATGATTCTTAAGTATCTCTTGTCAGTCACCAGAATCTTGAAAATTCTTTTTTTCATTATTTTTTAATAACAAAATAAAATAGAGCTGCTAATCTAACACTCCAATATTTCCTTTAAAAGCATATTTCAAGAATAATAGTCAATTTTACATCTGTATTCAGATTTAGAACATTCTTCACATTTTCTAGCAACGGATTTATAAAGGTATAGCCTAAAAAGCAATTTTTATTGGAAGAAACTGGTTGTATATTAAGTAAAATGGTAACTCTATTTCTGTTAGGCTCAGCAGCGGTCGAGTCGCTGACCACTAGTAGTTCGGACTGAATTTTCGAAATCCCGTGAACGGAGTTGCTATATGGATGTTTTCGTGAAAAACGTTACAGTTTTCCTTAGAAATGTCCTCCACGAAGGTATTCTTTCCCTTAAGCAGATAGCCCTATGGCTTTGCAGTAATTACACAAACCAAACGAAACCAAACCTACTTCTGTTCAGTAGCCGCAGGCCACGAGGCACGAATTCCTGGGCCAAAACCCTATCCCAGGCTAATAAATATATGATACATAACGTGTAAATAGCATTTCAGGAAAAAAAGTAGTTCCAGTGTGGCGAGGAGTAGGGCAAATCACTGCACTTCCTGACAAGGAAAGGAAATTTTATTAGTAGGAGGAGGAAACGACTTTATACGGGAAAGAATGTAACATGATGTGTTGAGTAAAGTAGTAATGAAATGTGAAAGTATTAGAATCGGCTTAAGGTCTGTCGGCTAACTGTCCTTGTCGGCTAAAGGTCCATGTCGTTTAAGTGTCCGTGTCGGCTAACTGATGTTGGTTAAGTGTCTCGTGGGCTAAATGTTCTTTTGGCTAACTGGTGTCGGTCAAGTGTGTCGTCGGTTAAGTGTCCGCGACCACATTTTAGCATATCGTCAGTTGGGCCACGCCGTTGGATCCATCTTCATTGCTTGATTCTTATATCAAGTCCTTGGCCAAATGTAATAAACGGCTTTTTAGATTGAACGTGTGGTGCTTGTTTGAAGGGGACGGGAGTGCTAAAAAGGAGCTGAAGGGCAGACGTTTGAGAAAGAAACAACACATGCAATGATTTTATTTTAAGAGCAGCAATTTTCATTCAAAATTAATTTATTTTCAGTAATAAATGTTAAAATAAGATATTATTATTGCCAAAAATATTTTCTTTTTACTGGGCTGTTAAACGTAGATTCAACTTGAGTCTTACAGTTTAAACGTGCTGTTATTTATTTTATTCATATCAGTGCAGTAATGAGCAAAGTAATACTTGATATATTCATAATATTTTCAAATAACAATAATAATATTAATAATGATATATAAATACATTTTTTGTTACAATCCCAGTTGAAAACTTTCATAATACTCGTATTTAGGTCACAATTAAAGTTCGTTTTAGGTTAAGCTATTATGTTTGATGTATTAAACTACTTTTCGATTTTTTAATTTTAGGTGGATCAAAGAGGACGCCTAAAAGCATCTATGTATGCAAGAAAAATAAAGAATATATAAAAGGTTAAATTAGCAACTTTAATTCCCTTTTCTATTCTAAAAATAGTAATTTCTCTGCATTGCATCATTTAGAGATTAATCCATGTCATATGACTCTTATATAATTCTGATGATGTAAATGGAACTCAAACTCAAACAGCCAGTAGTAAGTTTACAGCACTGTTAACTATCCAAACAAAATGTATTGAAAACCAAAATTAACTCAGTCTAAATTAAGATTTCACCCTGAACATAACGCACTTGCTTTCTGCGATTTTGCCTGTCTGGACTGCAGTCTATCTGCTCCTTCTTTTTTACCGCAAATTTATCTAAACATTTCTTTTTGGAAAAGGCCAACTTATTTGTGGCCGCAACATATTTGCTGAAATAAAAGATGAAGATACAATCTCCAATTTCCTATTCATTATGGATCAACACTTCTGCGCCATCAAATTCCTGCTGGTGCCTTCTGAGTTTGATTTTATCACATATATATGCATTAAATTCATTATACCTCATTTTTTTTGTAATGTGGATGCCTAATTTTATAGTAAAATAAATGATTAGTTTTGTTATGAGCTCATTTCTTTGAGGCAGAAATTAAATCCGAACACTAACCTGAACCACAACAATTACACCTAAGGCTTAAAGTAGACTTCGCTGCAGTAAACAATATAATTTATTGCTTCATTAAAATTACATGAAAGGATATGCTCGTTAAGATACATAATAAATATAAACTTTATGATTTCCAATCAATGACCTTTAGTGAGCATTTTTTTATTTGCGTGTTTTCACAATAACTCTGAAATGTTATGCGGCAAGATTACACATTCTTTACGTAATGAAGTGCATAAAACATCCGTTCTGCAGATTAGCTAAGTTCATGGTTCATTTAATTCACTTTCAAAGAATTCTTCTTCACTTCCTCTATTTGTTTTACAGTTTTTCTCTTATTATTTGTGTTCCCTTGGAAAGATTCAGTCATGGAATGGCGTTATTCCGCGACTTTTAAGAAGACTTACTCCATGGAAGGCGTTTAAAATTTCTAAAATTCATTGAAGCAAGAAGATAAGGCACGATATAAACAAATAAAAATCATATGATCCCTTCAACGAAAAGGATTTGTTGAACATCTATTCATCCATTAAGTTGGCCTTCGTTTCAATGCCAGCTACATAAACATTATGCGCTTTATTTTTCGGATTATTACTGGTACATCTGGCAACTGCAGTAGTTATTAATTTTAGCCTAATTGAAGATAAACTGAAGTTTTCTAAATTTCGAAATGCTATATTATAATCATATTTTGATTACAGCTCTTCGTTAAGATATTAGATTTTTAAGACCAAAAAAATGTTTAGTATACATTGTTTCGAATTTAAGTAGGCTGTACAACAAGAAAAAGCGTTTTTACCCTTGAAAAAGATTCTTAATTCTTAATTCTGTAGACGCGTAAGTGCTTTTAGAGAAATAACTAATCAAAATAAACAAAATAACGGAAGTATTTCATAGAAAATCATACAATGTTTAACATTTACTGCACATAATACAGGCACCTTTTCAATCTGTAAAGCTAGTTTGCTGTGAAAAATGGTAAGCGCTTGCAAACAAAATCATGTTATTAAATTTTCTCTTAGTCATAATATATTTGAAACCGTGGATATATTTGAAAAGTTTTGTCTACATGCAGAATTTTATAGCACACTTCGTTCGTGTTTTTGGTAGTTTAGAATTTTAAAAGGGAAATATAAATGTTCTGAAGCGAGTGGGTGAGTGGTTAAATGGCCCATTAAAATTACTACAGCAGTTCTGCTTTTTGCAAAATTGGTGCACTTTAATCTCCTCTTTTTTAAATTTATACTTGAAAGTATTATCATCGCAGAAAGTTTAACTATTAGCAAGAGTTATATTTATTATATTAATGTAGCTAATAGTCTTTTTCTGGACATGATACATAGTCTTCTTCTGAATTTAATATGTAATAATTTAGAATGCATTAAATAATAAATTTATAGATTCTTCCACTGGTTGTTATCTCAATCTCAGTCGTGTAGCTACCTGTTATTCAAGCTAAATTTTCATAGCGTTCAAAGTGAATGACATAAAAAAAAATAATTAAAATGGGTTGGATCAATCAATTTAAAGGTAACTGATTAATAACACCATTAAATAAATCTTGGCAAGTTTCTTTTTAAACGGAAGCATAAACAGGTAATTTAAGTCATGGACACCTGCGTATTTATTACACAGTGATATAAATTTCCCTTCTGTATAATAAACTATAATAGCAACAATTATAATAAGATAACAAAAATTTAGCAGTCTGTTTTCTAGGAATCTGTGCAGAAGTTAAAAAATGTGTGAGCAAATTTTTATCTTCATCAAAAATTTATAGATTATTATATGATTATAAAAGTTCCTATAATGTTGAAATAATAACCTTCATTAAAACATTTTTTTAAAACAATGGCATAAATTTTTTAGATGTCTCTCAATTATTTTCAAAGAAAAATCATAAAACAATGTTGTAGGCAAGGTGTGAGCAAGCATCCTAAAATTTGTGTAAGGAATAAATTAAATATATTTCTGAAATTAATTCTTTAAAATCTTATCATTAATTTCTTAAAACTTTCTTCCAAACTGCAGAATTTTGATTCATTATAGGAAAGGCTTTAAAAATACGAAATTCACTAAACTGATTATAAGAAATAATTGTTTTATTTGACAGCCTCTAAAGGTTTCTGAAGATTACGAAAGACAAATGTACACTAATTTGCAAGCTCCAATAAAAAGTGCAAAATGTTGCAATTGTTGTTTTAAAAGCCCAAAATGTTGCAATTTTGGAAAAATTTGAATCAAAAATGAATTTATACCATTTCGAAGCTTTTCAAGAAAAAGAATGCGTTTCAAATAAAATTTTCTTTTCAACGAAACATAACGGAAATGCTTATTTAAGCATTAAACGTTGAACCTCATGCCTTAAATAGAATACCGAATTATCTAGTATTTTGAGTAAATTAAATTTATTTCATATACTTTTACGAACTTTTAGTGCTTAATTAACCATACTAAAAACTTCTTGAAAGAGATGTAATAATTATAGCAGTTTAGCAATATTTATGAGTAATTACGCTTTAAATTTTAATAATAGTTTGTTTTAATTTCTATTGTATTTTCATCAGTTCGCCACAGTACTAGCCCTAAAAAGTACAAAATTAATCTTAAGTATGAGTCTAGTGGAGTTCGGCTGTTATTCTGCCGCTTGCCAAGAAACTGACGCAGAGTAAGTTTGAAGGAGCTACGGAGAGGTTTGGCTTTGCTCGATAAGTTGTTAAGAAAGCTATTAAGAAAGTCAGCTGTTGTGTTTTTGAGTTAGGATGTTGTAATCTATCGCAATCTCAGCAGAAAAGGTAAGTAGCCTGTTGTCGCAATCTTTAATGAGAAGTCAGCAGTAGGATTTAGTTTATCATTTTAAGTTTCTAACGCCATAAGACGTAGCTAATAAAATTGCTGTTATATTTTAAGTTTGAGTTCTTTCTAATATTTAATAACTAAACAGAACCAAGGGTGATAACTTGCCAAGTTACTGTTAACTTTTATAAATAGCTGTTAGGCGTAAGGGCAAATTTAGTTATTTAGCACCATAGAAACTGTAAGATATGAACTTACTTTTATTATTATATTGTAGGCTAGATATTAATACGAGCCCTTACTATAGTAAATCCCTTTTATATCCTTTCAAATGCTCAATAGAAATAAAGAAACATAAAATCAAAATTTTTAAAAAATGCACCGAAGTACACCAATGCAAGAACAACAAATTCAAAAAGAAGAAAAAAATAAAAACGCAATTCGTTATGCCGCTTGAAAAATTATATAATGTTGAACGCTTTAATATCAGTTATCGAAATTATGAATGTTAATTAGATAAAGAACAAGTCATTACTAATCTTAAAAGAAAACCAAACAAGAGCTACTCTTGTTGGCAGTCGCTAAAACTGTAAAGTCTCCATTCAAAGTACTAACTATAAAGGCATGGACAAGCATATAAATGATTAGATGGTTTACCGAGAAGTGTAGTAGCATCGATCTTATGACCTTTATGCAGCTGTTACCGAGTAATTTCTGTTACTTTTGTTAAACAATGACGATTTAATAATATATAAAAATGGTGTTTCATCGCAAATAATACATACCCACGCAATTTGGTAAACACATTAATCAGAATTACACCTGAATGTTTGTTTTGTGGGCTCGCTATTGGAGGGATTTTTTTTTTTTGTTTCTAATTTAAACAAGCATATAGATCAAGAATACGTACACATCTAAAAGTATTTTTCGCGTTATATTGAAGTTCATGCATGATATGTATGATCCAAATCATTTTATTTTTGAGATAATGTGGATAGGTGTAATTTGTGCGAGAGGCACTTTTGATGTTTTATTTTTTTTCTAATTATACTTAAGAAATCGAACATTGGAGTACAAGAAGAACGAATGTATAATTTTAAAAACAAAGGCGAAAACTAAGGTAATGTCGTTTAACTTTTTCTGTCTTTCTTAGATAACTTTTAGGAATGCTTTAAATGTTTGGTCGAATGCCGACGGTTTAGGCTATCCATGGTCGGATGAACATGACTGCCGCCTTTCTTTTGCTGACAGCAATTTATCTGTTTGTAAATATACAGGTAACACTATCGTTTATGGTGGCTTACGTTTATAGGATTGCCACTGCATATCGTCGACGAGGCGTAGAATCTAAACTAACTCTGATATGCGACAAGATAAAAGTAAATTTTGATAATGAATAATGTGTTGAAAAATTAGCGTATATTATAATAAGCTTTGAAATGGCGTTGTGTAGAGTTGACAACAGAATATCATCGGCATAGATCGTACTGTCATAGAACTGACATAGCGAAGAATCGACATTGGCACAGGATCGACACGAGCATAGGATAGATATAGCAAAAGATCGACACCTAGTCAACATGTCACAGGATGGACAAAGCATAGAATAATAGACAAGGCATATTAGTTAGAAATGAAGCATAAGCAAATAGAAAAAAATTATTAAATATAATTAGGATATCCACATTGGATCGAACATCAGCGAAATAGGCATCAAGATACTATCGAAAGCAGATTTGAGCTGCCATGTCAATCATATGTCGGTAGAGAGGCAGTCAATCTTGTGTGTATTCTAACTTATCATTTTTAGTAGGTATCCAACAATTCGGCATTTACAGGGGTTGGAGCGAAGTCCAGCTATTAGTGTAACAGGTATATATATATATATATAGTATCGAACGACGGGCTCTTGCCTTTTCTCAGCACTGACCACTCCTAAGGCCGGAAGTGGTTACCTCCATGCCTTCTCCGGGATTCGAGCCCGGGCCCTTCGGTATCGCAGTCGGCTTCCCTAAGCCACTATACCGTCTGGGCGGCCTAGTGTAACAGGTATAGAATTTAAGAGAAACAGATAACTAGCTGTAGCTCTGGCCAATTCTGCTTATTACAGATAGTTCTTTTTATGGCATTTATATTACATACATGAAAAATTTATGCGGAATTTCTGAACGATGAATTTGGTATTTATGGCAAAGCGTTTGTAAGTTATAATAAAAATAATGCCTAAAAACTTAATAGAAATGTCATTATAATAAAAGTACATAGCTATTCGTTTCCGATGATGATGAATCTCTGTTAAGTGGAATTCTGAAAATCGAAACTCTACTGCTTATTCGCTAAAACAACTAATCACGACTTTAGATGCACGAAAAATTATTTCTTGCGAATTATGCATGTAATTATTTTTTATAAAAAGAAACCAGTGCGCATGTTTACGTCTTATCTATATTATACTTAAACATCTACGAAAACAAATTAATATTCCTTTTAATAACAATAACATATTCTTGTTCAAAGAACTTGCAATATCGAGTTTCGTTGTCTTGTTTTAGTTGTCTCGCAATCAGTTTCCAGTAGAGATAAAAATGGAACTGACGTCATCATACCAAAATGTTTGAAGTTCGTATTTCTTCTTTGTGCCATCTATCTGAATAAATCCTACAGGTAGAAAAGAATATTTATATTTTATCTCCAACTCAGTTTCAGCACTTCTTGTTAAAAATAGAGAATAATACATACGTCAGTATCAGAAAATCCAAAAAAATATGTTATTTTTATAGGCATCAATTATCCCATTCACATGAGAATCATTTCTTTAGGCTCATACACATACGTTTCTTTTATAGTTTAAAGAAAATACGGCGAAGAAAGAAGCTCAGATTAATCATTATAAATATTGCTATTATATTTTATCCACTGAATTTACTTACGGCTAAAATTTTATTATTAGTATTATTGCAATTCAATTCCCAATTAATCGGTGTAATACTAGGAACGACGTCCATGATTAACTGAAAACCACGTTCAGTACGAAGGCAGTTAAAAACGCGGAAAAAAGGAATAACACATTACTATTAATAATTTACTTGCATTTTCAAAACGTTTAATCTATAGAATAAGCTCATTTAGTTGCGTGAATATAACATAAAAAGAACTCTGAAAAACATGGGAATAAACGTAATTAGAAATGAAGTAATTAAATTATGTAAAACTAGCACATAATCTGATATCACTATTATTATCTCATAAACTTTCTTTCTTTTTTTTTTTTTTTTTCCTCTCTATAGACAGAATAACCTTAACATTTATTAGTCGTGTCCAGTTACAGTTAATCTGCAGTGTCCAGTTAATCTGCAGTCCAGCGAGTACAGAGCTGTGTTATTACTTCATTTTCTATTCCATTACTACTTCGCTAGCAATAAAATATAGATTTTATGAAACGCAAAACTGCATAATGCTTTTGGGAGCACCTACCTATAGCTCACACTTATATCTTTGTTAACAGATTCGTTCAATGTGAGCTTTCGAATATATATTCTCTACGAGATAAAGAATTTGAAAAATAATTCCTTCTCAAACAAAGTCTGGGAGTAGCTATAGAATGACTGCTCGAAAGATCTTTAAAATTATCAAATTTGTGTTTTTGAGAAAAAATGTATTAATTATTTTAAATTTAGAATTCAGGTGTTTTAAATTGAATCCTAAATTCAAAATTACCTACGTAAAGAAATATAAAACGAAATGACGTATGACTCCAAACAGCTGTTTTCGCTAAATAATAGCGTAATTTTTCTTTGAGCCACAAATTATTAACAAAAGAAATTCCACTCAAATAATTACAGAGATGCTTTCTCATATCGTATTTGGTTCAGTTAGTCTAGATTGAATTGCTCCAGTCACATAGTTGAGTCGAAATCACCGGAGCTGATGAATGGTTCCAGCCAATAAAGTACCTCTGCACTTGCAGAATGCTCTGAGTTCCTTCTGAGTAGGAGCTTCAGTCCTGGAAAGGCCGCGTCTGAGTCCCAATCATTTTTCTTCCCCTTTTTCTGTCTTAGGAACACAGAGCTTACTTAAGCCAATCAGCGGTGTTCCAATCTATTACTAATACTTGAAGAATTTATTTTTTCGCTGTACCCCTGCAGTATAATTTGCAACAGCATTTTATGTACACTTCAGGAGAAAATATGAAATTATAATTATGATTTAGTGTATCACAATTACATTTACAAATACAGAACAGCATAATTCCATGCCAATTACAAATACAGGTTATTTATTACAACCTTCAGTGTAGCAGTTCACTGCGAAGGAAACCACTTTTTGGCATCTGTACGCAGCAGGTAATACCGTAGATCCTATGTTCAAAGCTTTGTAGAGGCTCATTTCTTTTATATAACTAAGTTATTACAATTACACCACTTAACAACTGTTCAGCAGAAATATGCTTCCTAAATGAAAGTCACTAAATCTTCAGAGAAGATTAGAAAATGGTTTATTGATTAGGTAAGCAAGGAGATTATTTTTCTTGGAGGGATGTGTTAGTGGAAGATTTTCTCTAAGAGAAACAGTCTGTTATTTACTTTACATATCAGGAAAACTGAAAAAAGGGAAAGAAAAGAAAAAAAAAAAAAAAAAGAAATATGCTGCCGAATCATTCATTGGGTTTGGTATCCGATTTGTTGGGAGTGGTACCGAAATACCACTATTCAGCCATCTTATCCTATCGGACATTGGTAGATTTGAAATGAACTAAGAATTTACATCTGAAAGCAACACTAAATGAAGGCCGAATTATTTCAGTTACCTGGATTAGTACCTTCATTTCCACATCAAATAAAAGCGAATTCCTTAATAAAATATTGAACATAAATTCTCATGTTCATTAAAATCCCATTTCATCCTTACGAAAGATTTGTTATAAAATATTTATTTGTGCATTAAGATGCGAAAATGTTTTTGCATTAAAATGCAAAAATGTCGTGGGAAAGTAGATACC